CCACGACTACTTGTCCCAGGGGAGGCAGGGCTCAGAAGTGCTTGAGCTGCTCGGAGGAAAGGTGCAGAGACCTGCCTGTCTTCCCAGGGAGGAAGAAGGGTGAGAGGAGCAAGCCTGCAGAAGCTCCTGCGCTCTGAAATGTGATCCTGCTGCAGGCACCTCCCTACGCCCCACCTCACCCTCTCCGATCTATATATGTCACCCGCCTTGGCTGGGCGCGGGGGACGCGGGCTCACACGGGCTGCTGGGCGGCCGGGGATACCTGCGGATGGAGCGGCCGAGGCACCAGGGGATGGTGAAGAACACGTTCATGCGCTGGCGGCTCCCACTCATATGCCTCGTCTGGGAGGTGGCCATGATCATCCTCTTCGGGGTCTTCGTGCGTTTCAGCCCCGAAGCTGACGCACATTGGGAAGAAGAGAAGCGAAAGATGAACCTGACCAGCGACATAGAGAATGATTTCTACTTCCGATACCCATGTGAGTATTTGGAAAGCCAAGTCCTGGTGCTGTCTGGTCCCCATCCCATCCCAACCCGTTGCATCCCATCCCATGGCAGAGCTGTCGGAGGTGACATCTCCACCAATTGCTCGAAAGTCCAGCTCTTGCCTTCAGGCTGGTTTGGGGCACATCAAAGAGCAAGAGAAAAACCTCATGGCCCTCCAGTGCTCCTGGGGCTTTGTCAGCAGGGTACCATGACACCAGTATGCGATGTCTTTTTTCCAGGAATAGGGCTGACGTGTTTCCACCACCCTGCAAGTTTCGGCTTGCTGCCCCCTCCCTCGGCTCTGGATCAGAGCAAGCTTTTTTGTGCATACGGAGGAACGGCTGTTGAGATCCTGTGACATCTTCCTCCCCTTCCTACATCCTCCCCCTCACTAGCAAATTACCCTTTAGCTACTGGCATTTTGATGCTGGAGTCCTCCTAACCTGCCAGGTTCCCTGGGCTCTTGGGTCATTGCATTGTATTGCCACAGGGATTATTCAGGTGGTTAAAGCCCTTCTGGCCAAATGGTGTCTTTGGCTGGCTTTGATCTCCAGGGCTGGTCATCTTTGTGGGCCGTTCAGATCAGGCTGCTTCTGTAGGCAATTGTTTCCAAGGAAGCAACAGGCCTGAGTCATGCATCTATTTAGAACATTTCCATTAAAAACACCTGCTAAATCAAAGGAGCTATAGAAACCTGTAGCTGCTGAGGATTAGCTAGTTCAGAAAAGGATTTGCTTACAGAAACCCACTGCTCAGCCAGCCTCCAAGTTAGTCCATGGCTGTGACTGCCCTGGGCTCTCCCTCGAGATCTGCCTGTGGGAATAACCCCGCTCAGGTCGGCATGAAGCAGCAGCAGTGCCCGAGGGCTGCTCTTGTCACTGATGTGCTGGGAGGATACCAGGGGTCCAAGAAAGGGCTCGTAGGAGCTAAGGACATGACATTTCCTCTGTCCTTCTATCCCACCCCTACTCCGCAGCACCAAATATTCCCCCTCAAATGGCTGCAGAGGGAAGGTCTGTGGGATTGTATGGTAAAACCAGGGTTAGGAAGACTGGTTCTTAGGAGATGCAGAGAAGTGCATTTGAAGTGACCTCTGCTGAAGCAGCAGATCTTGTCTCCTTCCTTTTTTTGTGAGTGATTTCATAGGCATGGGGGACATTTTTAAAAACTCTGCAACATGGCACTACACTGCTGGAGTGTCTCCAAATGCTCGTCCTTATACAAGTTGGAAGATCTTGTAAAGCATCAAAGGGCAAAAGCCAAGGCTTCTTCAGAGCTACACCTCACCCAGATCCTCACCCAGCCCTTAGTGGAAGGAGCAGATAGAACCCCACTGCCCCTGCAGGAGCAGATCTGGGGCTGCTGGATTTCAGGATGGGGTCAGGATAGAGTAGATTCTCAGTCACTGAATTTCCTTTGCCCTGAGCTTACACCTTCTCTTAGGTGCACAGGTGATGCTGGTTATAGCGGCTATAATGGCTTCTGTGCTGCATAATGCAGAACTTGCTGGTGTAGCTCCGTCAATGCTGTGTTTACCTGTTTCTACAGTGTGGCTTTGCTGGTGGGAGCCTCCCGGCGGGGGAACCTAGCCTTGGGTCTCCTGCTCTTTTCATGGGCAGAGTGGCCTCCACTGTGAGGTTTTCCATGGTTCAGTTTGTGC